TACAAAATATCTAATTTCTTTTCTTTGCTTTTCAGATTCAGGACTCCAATAAATGTAAGTTGTTTTAACTATTGGACTTTGTTTGGGATTTTTTTATGTGTATTGGGATATAAAATTCAATTTTATCCTACTTTTTGATTAAAATTTAAAAAAAGACTTTCAAAAGTTAAATAATAATTATATATTTACTAATGCCTACTGAAACCTACCTCCTATGAATATTTTTAAAAATTATTGACTATTTCTCACCACATTGGCAAACTTTGTAAGCTTCTTTTCTCTTACGTTATTTTTGGCTAAAAGGGACTCATATATTTATATGTCAAAGACAAGAATGCATTTTTGAATACTAACTTACGTGTTTTTGGCCTTTGCCCTTTATCCTTAAAGATAAACGAAATTTAAACTTTTGGGTTAAAAATTTAACCACTCATTAGAAATTACGGATATTGCATATGATGTTTTTTCTCTTTTCCCATTGATTATTCTTTTTTTGATGTTCTTATCTCTTAGCTTCTATACTTCGTGCCCATCGTCATCCACTTCCTCGTGACAACTCATCATCGTTCAGTAACCGACGGTCACATGTTTCTGCTGGTTTTCCTGCCATATCTCCTTGTCGGGGACGGGGCTTGGCTCCAAGTCAAATTCGTGGCCGAGGTCGACAGCATTTGCACCGTGCAAGCACCACTACTCATACTACAGATGAAGCTTCAAAATCCCATTCTCCTGGTGGGCAAGCTTCTTCTCATGGCTCAAGGGATGCCTCCTCTGGTAGTGAGTTGCTGGCTGGCCCATATTCTCGTTCACACTCTCGCTCGCACTCCCATAGCCACTCTCGCTCCCGCTCCGTTTCCAGCATCTCTTCGGTTTCCGGCTCTCCAATTTCTTCGCGTGGTTCCTCATTTTCTCTAGTTTCCTGTCGATCTCCAGGAGAAGTGAAGTTTCGCCTTAGTCAAGGGCGTGGTGATGGAGGCCGTGTCAGTTCAGATCACGTCTCTAAATGTCGCCGTCAAGATCGCCAAAATGATGGTAATGCACAGACATCCTCAACTGGGGAGCTTTCTAAAGGCCGTCGAAATCGTCACCATCGTCATCATCGTCAGAACCATAATCGATGCGGGCACTACAACAATCCCGATAATGACCAGCAAAAGCATTTACCATGTGTTGAAGTTGATGAGAATGGCCTCCACCGTCGTCGGCGACGTCATCGTTCTGATTCACACTCCGAAGATTCGCCGTCCAGTCTAGATCATACCGATTTATCAAATGAAACAAAAGCTTTTCAGCACCATTCTCGATGTCACCAACCTCTAACCTCATCTAATCATTTCGGAAGTCTTCGAATTCGGAGACGTTCACATCGCAATGATGCTGCTGCTAATATTGTTAATGGATATCGAGATTCTCCACTTTCTAATTCTTGCTACTCACTTTCATCCTCTTGTTCTTCTTCCTCTTCCAAATCGATTTGTTTAGATAATAGTCATGTTTCTACTTCTGTGGCTGCAGGCTCCACTCCAGCAACCCTTACAATTGCCGTAAATTCTGCAACTGCTACCATTGCTACTTCTCCTAATGCAAGTAATTCGCAGGCAAGGCGCCCAAGGGGCCGGCCAAGACGTACCGAACAATTGGGACAGATTAATTCAATTAAAATTGGCCAGACATTATCTGTATCAGAGGTGACTAGTACATTACCTTTGTCACCATCAGTAAACGCTTCAGGGATCTCTCCGATACCAAAACCGGCTTCTTCCTCAGCTGAATCTGGTTCTGAATCCTATTCAGCTGCTTCCTCTGCCATATGCTCCTCTTCCCGTTCTTCCCTTTGGTCATCGCCCTACTCATCTCATGCTTCAGCCGATGCTTCCGGATACTGGTCATCTCTGGACGCAGTCAGTGCTGTCACCTCTTCCCTCTGCTCTTCTACTTGTGCTTCAGGCTCAGAATTCTCCGATGGGGAGCAGATGACTAACGATTTCCCTCTTATGGCAAATTTGCCACCCTCCAATAGCCAGCCCAGCCTTGGTGAGCTGATTTCTCATTATTGCTTTCTTCTTATTCAACTTTAATCAAAATGGATAAGTAGGTTGGCTTAACTGTGGATGAATCAATCTTAATAAAACTGATGTGAATGCCTTAGTGTCTTAATGAACCATTTCGATTTTTAGGCAAAGGTATGTATAGAAGTTGTTTTAACTTGTTTTCCCAAATTACTCGTATTGTCAGGGAGTAACACACCTTATCCGAAGCCCTTAGTATCCATTATAATTCCCATTGTCGTACAATGGACTTGGCACATTTACAGATGTTTCGCCGGCATCACCAGTGAGCATTGCCATCTTTAGCACGACACTGAAAGACAAATTAAGTCGATCCTTTGATCAATTGTTTGCTGAACAGTTGTGGTATCTCCTATTCTAGTGCATTCACCCATTCTACATCCTCTTATCATCTCATTCACCATCACAATTTCATACTTGAATCTAGTTCAGGTGGGCCCTTTTGATCGGATTTAGTGAGACTTCTTCACATTCTCCCCACTGTACTGGGAGTGTTGATCCGAGTCTGCCCTTTTCTAGATCAAATCAGTCTTCATCTTGCTCTTAGGATCTGTCTCTTATCTCCCTGTCTCAATTATCTCATTTTATCACTTTCACCTTATCGTTGCTACTCGAGGCATTCCCTTCTACACTACCTCAAGACTGATAGCGCGTCTCATTGAGCAGGCCTTACAAGTCTAGATTCTTAAGCTGGATGGAAAACTAACTTGACTCTGCAGATTCCCTTATCACTGTTCGGCATGTGCACCGAGTAAATCTCGTGATCAAGCCTTTACTTCATAGGCCACGTCTATGATCAAACTTATCTACTAATAACCACCTATTGATGGTCTCCGCATCATTCACTCTTCTATCTATAATGCCAAGTCTATGACCTATTTTTTTCTAGGCCCTAGTCTCTTGTGTGCCGGTTCCCAAATATGATAGTTTTATTGACTTGATTAGGCTTACTGTAGACGTCTCCTCATGCTTTCCGATTTTTCATCTCTGGTCTCCCTTCTATTTCTTTTCTCATACTCAAAATATTTCCTTGATCAAGTTGTCTTCTTTTTGCTGATATTTTTGTTCCTTGTTCTTTAGCGAGCTTGCTTAAGCAATACGCATACTGCCTTATTCCAGTCTCTTGTTAATTACGTTTCGTTTATTCAGGATACCGATTACCTCTCAGATTTTGAGTTTTATTTTATTTTCACCATATACACCCAGTCTTTCTGATGATTTACAATCTATTTCATGTCCCTTCCATGCAAATATTCCGCTATTTCGGATCTTTCTGCATAGTCTTTGATGTTCCTTCATTCGTAGGATAATTTTTCTTCCTATTTCAACAATATACTTTGCTCATATTTGCCGTATTTTATACGATAAACTACCA